TGAAGTTGCTTCTTGAACTTATGATAAAGAATACTACTGAATGATACCAGCAGGAGAAATTAAGTGTTTTGTATTTTTCCTTCACTGGTGTAGCAGATCCAATACAAGTAGAACGATCTAGATTTTATCCTGGCTTACAAGTTATAAACATAACTCTTCAATAAATCAAGTGGTGATTTTTTTTTTTTAAATTACAGCAGATGTTCTGGCTTGTTTTGGTTTGGGGTTTTTTTGCCAGTAATGATCTATAAATACTACAGATTTCACAGACTCACAGAATGGCTGAGGTAGGAAGCAACCTTTGGAGATCACCTAGTCCAAGCCCCCTGCTCAGAGCAGGGTCACCTAGAGCCGGTCATTCAGGGCCATGTCCAGTTGGGTTTCGACTATTTCCACGGTCAGAGATTCCACCACCTCTGTGGGCATCCTGTTCCTGTGTTTGACCAGCCTCACAGTAAAAAAGTTTTTGCCTATGCCTACATTAGAGATATCTCGCTTCATCTGAATAGGCACAGAGGAGACATACATATTAACTAAATCATTCTTCCTAAAAACAGAACAGGAACTTTTTTCTCAGCATAATTCAGAAACACGTGTCAATTCAATCAAGAAAAAAAGAAAAAAAATTGGGTTTTAAACACAAGGCGTTTTTAAACATAGCACAAAATCAGATCTCTTTGAAAACTGTTATTTTTAATGTATTAAAATGTCAGTGTCTTCCTGCGATAATTTCTTTGAATAACAACTGGCTAAAGGAATATAGGGCAGGGAAAGAAAGACGGGAGAGGCACGTGCAGCCCTCGCTCACTGCACATTGCTGGTTGACAGTAAAGCAGACTAGGCTTCTATGGATTTTGCACATTGTAAAACCCTCAGGCAAAAGAAAGCAGAGATCCTGAGAGATAATGACACCCACAACTACACTAATTGGCATTGCATAACTGTCTTTTTCATGGGACTGTCATCTACATGAAACCTTATATGAAACAAGAACCTTATAAAGATGCCACTGGACCTTCGAGTGGAAACCCAGGCAACTGACAGGAGAAGGTTTTGAAGTGACAGTGGGATGCACCAGAGGAAAAACTGGAAGGTGTACATGATACAAAGAGCTCCTTCTCTGCATCGTGGTTTTATCCACTTAGGGAAATTAAATACACAATTACACAAATTAACTGATTTCTTATTATAGCTAAACCATTATGCAATAAGATGTCCATTGGATAAGCCCATCTAGAATTCCTGACACTTTTAAATGCAAAATTCAGCTTGTCAAAAATTTATAGGTAAGTCCAGATTTGGCAGGATTTTATTCAAATGCCTTTGCAAAAACTCCTCCCTCCACTAACAGCAATGAAAAGTAGCATATGAAATTATTCTATGCATATTCTTCCATAATAATTAACCAAAGCTGGACAACAATGTTTATACAAAGCAGCCCATTCATCTATTACTGAAGTTATAAATAAAATATTTTAAATCAAATATTTAAAATACAGATTTCAAATAAAGCAATTAACAAAAAGTTGTAATTAACAGAGAAAAAGGGCCATCACAAGTTAATTTTAAGAGGCTGCACCATCTGTTGCTTTTTCTAAAAGAGCAATCTGAACAGCAGAAAGAAAACACATGTTTTCTCATCTTACCTGTCTTGTCTCTATAACAACCACTGATGCAAGTCGTATTATTTCTACACCACCAATGTCATCTATAGTACAATTAAATGAAACTGAAAAGGTCAAAAAACATCAGAGTAGGTTCTCCACAAGATGTCTAAACCTGATAATGTCAAGGTGACTCATCTTCTTTGATTCATAATCATTATGTGCTCTTGACACTGCACAGGCTGTTAACTACTTTTTATAAATCAAAGCCTCCTTTTTCTTTTTAATTCAGATATTTTCTTAGTACCTCTGACATTTAGGGGGACATCACCACAACACTTTCAGTAATATCATAATCTCATAAGTTAACCAGCAACAGAATTTTCTCTCTATATGCGTACGTGTATATTTAAGTCTGAACTTTTACCCAGAAAGGCTTACATTTCTTTGCTCCTTCCTAATTTTATACAAGGCAAATTAACATACACAAAACTTCTGATGACCAATGAAAAGTTATGCAGAAGGAGAGATCATATGCTCCCTTAAGGGTATCTGCACAAGGATCTTTTTGGTGCAAAAGAGGATAACAGGAAGAGGGAGAAGCCATAAGGAATAACACGCAGGGACACAAACCTAACTAGCAAGCCATGAGGAAGGCAGTAACAAGAACCAAACCTGCTCAGTCCCACTTATTGATAAGGGTATGGAGAATGTGGGAGTGTTTCTTTCAGTAAGATTATCTGGTGGAGGACCTTGTCAAATGGCATGATAAAGAAAAAGAAGCTATAAACAAAATACACAGAGATACAAACCTGAAGACAAACACAACAGAGACAAAGACAAGGAACAAACCTGGTCAGGCACACTAAATGAAACTATGGGCAAAACAGGACTTTGCAACTGATAAGCATGCAAACCTGAGGGCCCACAGTGTTGGAGGGGGATGCACGGAACTACACCAGCTGATGATGGCATGGGAAGGTGAAGGGGTCTAGGGAGGAGCAAGTTGGGGAACAAACAGAAAGGGTTATAGAAGGGGCCAGCTGCACATAAACTGGGGCCGGTCAGCATGTTTGTCTGACTGAGCCCTGTGCCTCATCATGGTGGTCAGTCCTAGCTTCTTTTGAAATCCTATCCTGTGCAGGGGTGTGTGCTGCAAGGACTATGTGCCAGCTGCTGGTGAGACCAGCAGGAGAAGACAAGACACTGGGCCAGCAACAGGAGTCAAACAGGGGTGCAAGATGCCCTGGGCCTGTGATGTGAGCTACAGGAGCAAGTGGGGCTCTTGGCCACCAGATGCCGGGGTGGGAACAGCATGTGTCCCAAACACCAGCTACAGGGAGGGACTGGAGAGAGGCAAGTAAAAGGCTGTTCTGTTTCCTGTGGGAACCAAGCAGGGCTGCTAGACTGGCTAATACCCTCAAGAGTTTTGACAGGAAGAGAGCTGTCCAGGGGGGAGAAACAATGTCATTCCCCACTCCACATACGTACAACCAAGCTGATGGTGGCACTGCCATAACTGTCCAAGCAAGTGAACAAAGACTAAGGGTGAGCACTCCAAAGAGCCCAGGCACACTGAGGAACAGCAAGTCCTCTGCTAAACAAGCTGCTAGTAAAGGGGGTGACTCTACAAGAAAAATAAGCAGTCCTGCCTGCGGGCCTAGCCACAGATGCAGCACTGTACTGCTTCAGAGTATGGAAGAAGAAACCTGCAATTACTAGCTACAACTATGCATGCTAAGTATACTTCTTTTTCTTTTCCAATCTAGTTACTGCTTTATGATATGTATCTTACACACATATATCTCTCTCTCTATATATGCACATAGGTAACATGCATGGTGCTAATAACATCAAGTTCACAGGTTCAATCCCTGCTTACTGCAGGGGGGTTGGGCTTGGTGATCTCTCAAGGTCCCTTCCAACCCAAAGCATTCTATGATTCTATGTTATATACACCTATATATAAACATATATCTGTATATAGGGACTATTTCAAATCGGTTGCACATCAGAGGTAATGCAGAATATGAAGCTTATCAACTGTATTTCATTTAAACAAAACAGATAGTTGTCTTCTGTAACTTTTAAAACTTACTATTAACGGACACCCAGGCAAAGTTTAAGCCTTTAGCTTTAAGTCCACTCCCTCCTTTTGGTGTTACTAGGGTTCTTGGATATCTAAGATGTGAGTTAGTTTTTGAATTAACTGGAAAATGTTTTCAAAATGTTCTTCACTTTGGAAGTTGCCTTTTCTCCTGGATTCATCACAGTGTGAATGTGGTGAACTTAAGGCAATGCTACTTCAATCGATATTCACCTTTCTCCCAGGGATGACTAAGGCCTAATTTTATTCTTGTACCTTGTGTGGGCAAAGGCATATTTGGAGAGCAAATATTAATGTAGAAATGAATGTTCATTTAATAACATGGTTAGTTTTACCTCATGTCTGAATAAGCATACAACATATTTGAATAAGCAAATCTGTGTTCATTTGGGAGGACATCCAGCTAAATTCATTATTCCAAAAAAAATAGCAAGCAGTCACAATATCCATCTGATAGTCACACTAAATATTCTGTCCTACAGCTCTCATTTGCCTCGGAGACCAGACTTATGTTTCAAAACACTAACAAAGATTCTTCTTTATTTTTATTGTACAATGTTTTTACTGCTATGAAAAAAATCTTGAAAAAACTGCCCTGTCATCAAGGAACAAACAATAAAAACAAATAAAAAAAACCCACCACAAAAAGAACAACCTTGAAAGCAAATGGTGGGCCTATTAGCTCCTTGGCAGTATGCATCGGATGCAAAATCCCCAGGTTGGTTCTGCACAAGAGCTTCTATAAAATGGCAATGACCTGACACCCTACTTAACATTCTCAAAAAGCAATTTCAGGTTATACATTCTAAGCTAGATATATATTATCTTCCACCACTAGCATCCAACAGCTAATTTCAACAATAATAGCAACGTTTGGGGGCAGAAGCAGAGGGCACAGTTTTTGTTTGGTTGGGGTGTAGTGGGTGTGGGGGTTTTGTCATTCTTTGTTTTGTTTAGGGGTTTTTTGTTTGTTTGTTTTAAACAAAGCATTAGTAGCTTCAATGCACGTGAACAAGGACAGATATCCTGTGTTTTAAAGACTATACCATCTACAGCCTATTTTCAGCTGAAATTTCAAAGATATTAACAACTCTGAACAAAATATCACAGATAGGTATTTAGAGGCCTCACAGGGAGAAAGAAAATTCCATTAGAGGAGAATGATGAAGCTCAAATGCCTACATTAATTTTGCAGATAGAAAATACTACTTCCCATTATCATCTTTGACACGTTAATTTTTCAATGAAGTCCCCACACACCCACTGTAACATCAGTCAAGAAGTTCTCTGCAACAAACATGTCTATTCACATGAAGCTAGAACAAAAAAAATTTTATGGTAGGGGGTAACATAATTTCATTATTCAATGCCTTAGCCATCATCATGGAAATAAAGAAAATTATTTTTGTCTGGAACAATGAGGTCCCAAATCTTGGGTTGAGTTTTATACCATATTATACTATTAATATCCTGTCTTCCTCCCTAAAAATGTATCAAAGTGGAAGTTTCTAGTAGAAATCAATGACTCTTCCCACCCTGCACCCCAAAAAAAGAAAAAATTAGAGATAAATAAAGCAACAGAAGACATCTGATACCATTTTGTCTTCTTGTTTTGGAAAGCCTGCATGTTCCCAGCCTTGGGAAGACCCTGTAGTATTTTGAGACACTAATGGGTTTAGTGGTGGATTTAGCAGTGCTAGGTTAACAGTTCAACTTGATGATCTTAAAGGTCTTTTCTAACCTAAACGATTCTATGATTCCAAGAAATACATATATAGTTCAAGCTTACTGTGCAAGCAAATTTCTGAATCTGTACTATCTTCTTTCTCCTGCTAGGATCAACACACTCATGTGGGATATTATAAAACTTTGCTCTACTCAAAAGACAAGACAGTTGCATTTTTAAAATCCTTCTTTCCATCATTTATCCTGTTCTTGTTTATCAGGCTTGTGTCTTACTGCTGTTGCCTCTGGACCAAATAATCATGATGACACTGGTCCATTCTGGATTCACCAGGCCATTTTGTTTCCATGGTGGAATTACAAGAAACCCTGACCACAGCCAGCAGCATAAGAAGGAACTCAGAGAGATTCATTTTCTAGGAGAAACTCCCAGACACCACTCTTCTTCCAGTTCAAGCTGACCCAACCCACAAAGGATATCTCAACAGTTAAGAAGATGAACCAGCAATGCCAGAGGGAAAGGTTTTCAATGAAAATAAAAGGAACATTGAAACCCTTCCACATAATAAAATATTCCTGCTTTATATTGTAGAAATAATAAAAAGTCCATGTTACCTGTCACAGTCATCTCCGTCACATGTTGACACAAATGTACTATAAATTTCAGCCTCGATCACTAAACTGATGTTCTTAAAAATTTTAAGACAAAAATGTAGGCAATATCTCTGAAAATCAGGCCATCAGAATACAGGAGGAAATCGCAGTCCTTTAGAAACTACCAATATCATCTTGCAGCAATGCTGCGGTTGGTTATTGACCAGCACATAAACCACATTAACCACTACTTCAGCATGTCTTTACTCAAGATTTCAATCACAAGGCTGATTTATGTTCACTAGACAATCCAGCAATTGCTTTACAAGTCATTTCCTCAAGCACAAAATCCTCATGTTCTCAAAAGCCATGTGATATTGATGTGCAGCCATTCATTCCACTATGAAAGCAAGTATTTTATTAACTCTATAGTCTGTACTTGTGACTTGTGAATACTTAAAAAAAAAAAAAAGGGAAGGGTTGTTTTAAAGACACAGGAATTTTAAACTTCCATTTTTTTCTTTGTTTAACAGGACTCCAAGACTCAGGTTCATTTTCCTAACTACTTCATCTAAATGAAGGGTCAGAGGTCTTTATTGCTAAATTTCAGTAAGCTCTCAGAACACACTGAACTTAAGGAATGCAATACCCTTTGGGTACATCACACCACACCACACTAAGAATAGCTGCACTTTTAAAAATACATTGCTAACGGGAATTCTGGGTCTTTTTTAAAAGATAAAAGCAAATAAGCAGTTTCCCTGGTAAGTATCCTATTTGTTCCTGAGTTATTCTGATATTTTTTTTAGGCTTTGATGTCTGCTTTCTAAATCTTTCCCGTGTTATTCTTTGGTTCTCTTCTCTAGGAATAGGATAAATTTACTAACAAAATGGATGCACTGATGGAAAAGTGCTGTTAAAAGGTCCAAAGTAAAATACAAAAATTTTGTTCTTCACTCGATTTCAGTCCACACACAGAGTCAAATTATAAATTGGATTGACGGATTCAAGCATAGTTGGTATATAAAGCTTTATGACATAGAAATGCTGAAGGTAAGTGATGGCTTGATTTCTATTTTATCAGTTGCTCACCCAATCACTCTGCCTATCTCCACATACAAAATTTGTTTTCATCCATTATCTGTTCTCAGTCCAGTTTCTCTAGTCCAAAGAAGTAACAAGGAAATTTTTACAACCAACTCAAGCACTATTATCTTCAAATTACTCTGTTCTTATATGATAGCTGTTAAAACTTCTTTGAACCAAAAAGTTCACTATGACTACAACAAATGAAAAAAGTAATGGCAATCACACTTCCTTCCACGTAAGATAAAAATCTAAGGGTGCAGATTTTCAAGATTTTTAGAAATTAAGCACTTCAAAGAAATTTTCACTTTGGGAAAATGGTGACGGTGATGTTCAGTGCTTTTGGAAAAATAAAAAATGATCTGGAAAGTGATTTTAGTATCTAGAGTTATCAAAAAGAAAGCAGTTTAACTTCTGTCAAATTTATACTGCAATTTGATAAAGAATAATGCCTTAGTTCTATTTCTTCTTTTTTTTTTTTTTAACCCAGGACTGTAAAAAGCATTCCACTTCCAAAGTTAACTGAGCATGAATCAGACTGTAAACATTCATTTATCTTTGCAGCCAAAATTAGAGATCTTATCAGTTTTCACACCACCTCTAAAAACACAACTCCCAAACATAGCTAGAGACAAAACAAGTCAAGACTTCTGCTACAATATTGTTTTAGCTGTGACTATGAACATATATGTGCAAAGAAAAAAAAAAAAAAAGTGTTGTTTTATTGGAAAATACAGCATATAAATCTTTACCTGCAGCTCTATAAAGTATTTTAGGTTCAAAGAATATGCATGGATTTTTGTCCTCTATGCATGACAGCAGCAGTCCTTTGGCCTGAAGAGGACTCCTTGGAATAACAATCTGTAAAAATATTTTGAAATAGTTTATTTAAATTGCAATTCTGCTACAGGCTTCTTCAATTAATATTAAAAGCCAAGCAATTATTTGCTTTAAATAAACCTATATACAGACTGAGCAGTTCTTAGAAAGTGAATTAACATCAGTGCTATGTTACTAACACAGACTTTTTGAACTTTATTTTGTTCATTGATGAGGCTTGAATAGTTCCCCCCTACACCATGATTTAAATACTAATGGACCCCCCCTCCAATAAGGCAGAACTAATATCTTAACAATAAGATTTTGAGGGAGAAGGAACAGAGGAAAGACAGTCAGATTAAAAAAAAAAAAATACTGTATGTTAGTTTAGTAAAATGAATGTAGACGTACAACAAAAAAAATCAGCTGAGTGATCCTCAGTTGCTTGGGTAAAGATTCATCAGAGCAGACCTGGAAGGTAGTCAGACTTAGTCCAGTAAGTTTTGAACACTCAAAAAGGAAAAAGCTACTTAAAGTTGACTTCCTTTGTTCATGGTGGAAGCCTGAAATTTGTTCATTTTGGAAATGAACAAATACCAAAAAAATACCTGAAACTATTATCAAAGCAAAGAGAAAACTAAGCAAGACCTCCAGATGTCATCTGAATACTTTGGAAGGAAAAAGTATAATTGATTTGCCAACAGAAGAGTTAATTTTGGATGATCTAAGAGAATGTTGATTATGAACAGAAAATGACCAAATTATCACAGTTTAAATGAAAATAGAACCTGAGAGCTCAATTCCCTCAAATCAGAAGGACCAGCTAATTTACAATCCAGAGATCTCAAAGAGCTGGCACATGCAGCGTGAAGTCTACTAGGAAACATTTTTATAGCTGTGAAGTTAGAAGTGGCCCCCACTGACTGAAAACATTAGTTGTAGCACTTGTTTAAAAAAAAAAAAAAGTCTATGTAACTAGACATGTTAACTTACTGTCTCCAGGAGTTTCCAAGGCTTCAAAATATTTTTTGAGAGTAAGAACATTTAATCATATAAAAGTAATAGAAAAGAGTCAAAACACAACCAAAATCTGCTATCACATCAAATTGACTCAATAAGTGATTTTTCTAAACAAGGGAGAAACAGTCTATTAATATTTCACCAAAGCATTTGGTAACAGACATGTGGGAAATTGCCCAACTGATGTATGTTACTAGTGCAGCTCCTTAGGGATCACTTTTAGGACAGACTTTATTTACCTTGTTCATATACGATGTTAAGTCAGAACATGGTAATGAAAACTACTCAAAAGCTGAGAGTCACTACCACTACAGAGGATGATAACAAAAAGACCTATTTCACATTGAGGACATGACTGACAAAAGCAAAAGCAAACTGAACAAAACATACTGAAAAGGCATGCAGTTAAGGACCACATTTTTATTATAAATTTAGAATTCATCAGCAGAAATTCAGATCTGAATTTACCGTCTGCTCAAAGGATGACTAGGACTCTATGCAGTACAGCCCTAAAAAAGCATAATAATATGGCCAAGGAAGTGTTAGTGCTATTGCAAAAATCACTGCTGGAAACTCCTCTGGAATACTTCATGACTGTATCAACTGTTTTGAAAGAAAATGAATGAAACAGGTGCCAAAAGAGCTTCAGCAATTAACATCTCTTTGATAGTTTGATTTGTTTAGTCTAACAAAACAAAGAGTAAAGGGAAAACAATTGTTCTCTTAGTATATGAAAGGGAAGGTGGAGGACAGGAAAGTTAAATATACAAGTCAGTCAGGGACAAATTTAGGCTGGAAATGAAAAGAAAGCTTCCAGCCATGACGACAAATATTCTGGAGCAGTCTTACAATGGAATGAAGAGAGTCAAAATAATAATTTTGGAAGACAGTCTGATCCATTAAGACATACATCCTCACAACAGTAGGCCAAAGATACAACCATCTAGCAACATCCTTGTCACCCCAACAAACCTCATCTTAAGTACTAATTATTACAGTCCCTCCCCTCAACAAAAACTCCCTTTCGCTTGGGAAATCCAAACCTCAGCTTTCACTTAAGAAAAACACAAAATAAAAATCATAAGTCAGGAACCTGCCACAGAGTTTAAAAAGAAGGCAGTTTTGAAAACCACTCTCCCCAAAGATCAATCCTACCCTTCCCAGCTTGTAATACGTGGCCTTTCCTCCTGTAATTTGGAGAAAATACACATATGGGACTTCTGCAAATGCATCTGAACCACAAGTTCATTTGTGTTTCTGGATTCATACACTAAGGGCTGGGTTTAGGGTCATTCAAAAAAAAGGCATGCAACCTTGAAGATAAAGCCTTAAACATTATTAACTGCATTAATGAACAGCTTTGCAAAAAAATTTAAAGGAACAACATTGTTTTCACAAAGATAGAAAACTCAAAAGATAGACTCTAAAATACTTCTCTGTGCCTCAAAAACTAGTATATTGTTCCATCAGTTCCACAGAATTTAATGTGCCCTTTACCTGAGATGACAGCTGTTAGTGGTATCAACCTATTTTAGCACTTTACCCAAGGAAAAGTGAAAGAAAGTGAAAAACCAACAAGAAGAAAGATCAGAGATGAGAGAAAAGAAATCAAATTACCTGGAGTGATTAAATAAAATTCTGACTTACTAACTTATTCAGAAGACTAAGCACAGTAGTACTAGGTTGCTATGAATTAGAATGTGTTTTAATCACCAGAGTGGACCGCTAAATCTCAGCAGTTGGTTCAGTATATAAATATTTGAGACTGACCAACAAGATCAGCATAAATTAGCTAGACCTGGCATCAGTATCTTAATCATATAAGTTCTCTTGCGCTCCCATATGATAATAAACTACTCTAGTTTTTAAACAAGCTCAAGAAACCATTTGATTCAATTACCCGGCAAAAGACTTTGTCGATTGCTTTTGTCTACATCACGAAATATTTTCAAGTCAGAATAGGAATACCTCAAAGACCAGAAAGAACACCCAAAGACAAAAATGCATTCCATTTCTCAAATACCATAAAATAAAATGTGAATAATACAGGATTTTTTTATTTCAGTAAAGAGAAAAAAATAGTAGAAATGGCTATGGCCTCCCTGTAAATGAGTAATATCTGAAGCTTTAGAACACCAAAATCATATATAGACAATTAAAACAACAGTTAAACAATGAACATGTGTCTTCAGCATACAAATACTGGTTTTGCTTAAGTCTTCCACATTAATCAAGCTATGAGTCATTTCTCAATGGACTGGATGCCAGTTAACCCAGAAGTACAAGTCCACAGACAAAAATTTACTCAGAAAAAAATGGAGAGCTGGCAAACAGTGCTCTCAATCTGAGATGACTAGATCCCGCCCCTCCCTCTTCTCCAGGAAAGTTATCCATCTAAGCGCTAGGAATCTTAGCTTCAAGGGATGCCACGGTCTCACACAGAAAGCTTGCCTAAAGTTACCATTCAAAGAATCACAGAACAGTTGAGGTTGGCAGTGACCTCCAGAGGTCATCTGGCCCAACACCCCTACATAAGCAGAGCCACCTAGAGCTGGTTGCCAGGACCGTGTGCAGACAACTTCTGAACACCTCCAAGGATGGAGACGACACAGCTTTCCCAGAGAGGTTGTGGAAAGTGCTTCCTTATGTTCAGATGGAACCTCTCGTGTTTCAGTTTGTGCCCACTGCCTGTCACTGTCATTCATATAAATGAATTTAATAATGCACTTAAGAAGACAGATGCAGAAAGAAAAAAAGCAAAGTACTATTTATTAGTGTTAGTTTTTAGTTTCCATACTATACTGGACACAAAACAAATGTACAATGTATGCTTTTAGAGCAAAAAGCACACCAAATGCTTTGTCTATTAAAGATTGCTTCAATGATGGCTATAGATACTCAAACTCTTAACACAGCTTAAGTTTTATAACTTGAAAACTTCTAAAACAGTTGTTAATTAACATATTCAGATTTTTTGTTGTGGACTTACCTTTATTCCTGGACAGTGAGCAAAAAAGGCTTCTGGACTTTGAGAATGATATAGTGCACCATGACCCACACAGCCCCAGGGGGCTCTGATGGTGAGGCTTCCACAATTAAACAGATCTCCAGAGCGGTAACGATATTTTGCTGCTTCGTTAACAATCTGGGAAGATTTATATACAAAGGTAGCATTCAGTCCAATACCTTTAGTTATGCATCATTAAGCCTCTACAATACATGAAATATATCTACATCATCTGCTCCATGCATGGAATTCAGAGGACCAAATTAGAAGCAAAGGAATCCTGTAAGTCAGTGGAAAGGCAAACATTTTCCAAGGCAAATAATGCCTTGGAAATTTAGTGTGTTGAAGTTAGATGCCTAGGCCTCAGGAGTAGCCATATAGCCAAGTTGTTTCCCCATTCCCGTACTGTCAATCAGCCCAGTTCAAATCTGTAGCTTGTCCTGTGGACACATGGCTGGCTGCAGATGCATAGAGAAGTGAGAGATGGTGTTGGAAAGACACAGCTGAGGAATTTAAGGCTGCTGAAGCCAACACAGCCACAAAACTAAAACCAAAAACAAACAGACATTTGCTTCAAACCACATCTTTAATTTCCATTATTTAATCAGCCTTCAAACTGGCTTTGATACCTTCCTGTTTACTTAAAGCATGCATAAATATTAGTAATACAGCTGTGGCTATGTTTCCAAAAATTACATATTCAAACCAAGTATTAATGCTAACAGAAGAGTAATTTAAACAGTCATAAGATTTCTTTTTACTTGTCTCAAATTTATTAGTACTAACCTGATCAAATGCTGGAAAAATGTAATCTGCAAACTGAATTTCTGCAATGGCTGTAGCTCCTGCAACAGCAACTCCAATACCAAAGCCAACAATGCCTTGTTCACACAAGGGGGTGTTGAAAACTCTATCTTTTCCTAAAAAAAAAAAAAAAAAAAAAACACAACACAAAACAATTCCTTTAACACACCAGCTCGAAGTGGAAAACTCAGCCCCAGAAATATTCCAGTTATAAACAAATCACCTGCAAGTAAGCATATGGCTCTTTCAATGCATTTTTTAGTGTAGCAAAAATAAACATCCATTACAGGTAAAGATACTTTCACTTTAATTTGTACAGCTCAGAGGAAGACAAGGAGAAACAAAATGAAAGAACAGTTTCTGTAACTTACAACATTCTTAACACTTCAAATTTGTTCTGATGTATATACAGATAAGCATGCATGCATACCCATCATGCTTATATGGGAGGAGTAAAGAATACTTACAAGCAATAAAAAAGCTTACAATAAAGAAAAGTATTGTTACTTCAATTTTTTTCAGGCAGTCAAAAGTAACTGTCCGTACTCAAAGGCAGATGGATCTACAAAAGCATCTGTATGAAAGTATACTGCCTCTTGCCCACACTCCCCATAAGCAGTACCCAGTCTTATCGGTCTTCTTCCGTAAGGTAAGGCTGTGCTTACCAAAGAATTTGGTTTGTCTCCAAGGCAAGAGAAAAAAAAAAGCTGTTCCTGATGTTGGAGGCACAATACTGGAAATCAAATATTTTGGGTACTGTGTCTTCCCTGCAGGAGTGCAAAAAGTCATTTTAGCCCTGACATTTCTGTGCTACAGTAATTTCAGATTCCAAATATGCATCAATCTAATAGATAGCTGAAGACAAAATTGTTCAGTTCACAAAATTAAAAACAAGAAGGAGAGGGGAAGGAGACGAAACACCCCTACAATATCCTCTATAAGACATATTTATAATATGTGCCAGCAGTACAGTAATGCCCCAGCAGATCAACAGGAGAACCCAGTATTGCTATTAAATTTTCCCTTTAGAATATTGTGAAATAAACAGTAGGTTTCTATAGCAGTCCATCGTGCATGGATATGGCAAGACTTCAAACGTAATGAAAAAAAAAGTGAGCACAGTGCACACCAGTGGCTATAAAATAAATTAAACAATAACTTAAAAAATACCAAATAAATAACTAAAGACTAATCAATTAATAATCAGGAAAGTTGTTACTATAAAGACTCCTAATTTCAATAGCTGCACATTAACAAACTAGAAAAAGGGAAGGTAACAAGACGTTTTAGAAAGGGATGATAAGGAGAACCACTGCCCACAGCTTTATTTATGATACACTGAGAGGAGGCATGTTTTACAAATCTTTCAAGTATACATCTTTCATCTTCACACATCACCCAGCACAGCATTGTCACTGCTTGTACCCTGTCCACGTGCTTCGCCTCATGTTTTGAGTTTCATACTGCAAGGGTTATTTTGTTTTGTGTCATTTTTTGGGTTGGGTTTTGTTGTTATTGTTGTTTGGTTTTGGGGCATTTTTTTTGATATGTCAGTAATTAGTTTTTGGGTCTCCCTCTGCCTTCCTCTCTTTTCCCTCCACCAGGAATATGACTAAGACACCATTAATTCAAGGCGAGTTAAAAAAAAAAAAAAAATGCCATCAAATGACACTACAATGTTGGTGGTGTCAGTGAGGCTACAGAAGCCAACAGAAGTCCAAAGGGCTACCACAATTGCAGGATACTCCACGATTTTGCCTACAAGACAGAGGAAACATTTTCAAGCACCTTAAAGATCATCTTTGTGAAGGGAAACACCATTTTCTCAAATTAGTCATTCCAAACTTCTATGACATCTACTCATTTCTTATAAATCAGTGTTTGAAACAAAAAACCCTGTGACTTACAGTACTTTTAAGATACATGCACACTGGGCCACTTCTTGTTTAGAAATAAATTTCCAAGAAACTTTTAAAATTCTTATGACCTAGAAGTTCTGCTATTGCTGCTGGAGATAAAAATGTTACCACAGCTAGCTCAGTAATTAAAACTGAATTCCAGATTAACAAAGTTATTGCATAGCTTTCGAAGGACGGTAAGGTTTTGTTATCTGCATGTCAAACACACCCAATATTACCCTGATCAACTCTGAATCACAGCAAAGTACCATGCAGATCAGAGAACATTTTTCAAGTAGAAAAACCTGCTAGCTCTCATTTCCAAGGTATATGAGCAAGCTGATCTCAGTAATTTCCAGATGTGCGTCATCTGTGCCTTGTTTCGTATCTCCTGGAAGAAAAATAATGATCTCTGCAGGTACTGTGGCCAAAAGTCATTCAGATTAAAAATGGCATAGGAAGTGAGAGCGGCAGTCACTTCGTAGTGCTGCCATTTATTCTTGCTGGGCACTTATTTTACCAGCATGCTGCAGTAACACTACTAGTCTGCACACTTCTATTATTTCTTTACTAGTACTACCAATGTGTCTGGCAATATCACTATATAAAAACAGCCTCAGACCTGAAAGATTTTCATTCCAAGTAACAGAAAGACAGAATGCTCTGGGAAACCCAGAACTGGGGAAGATGTCCATAGAAGATGTCACTTGCTTCTATTGTCCTCATAAATTAAGTTATACTCACTTCTGACAGACATCAATTGTGTCTTGGCTTTACTGCCAAGAATTAACAAAAACCAGTTCAAAAAGCTTCACAGCGGAATCATCTTTTCCCTTCAGAGCTGACAAAACGGGAAGATTTCAGTCACATCAGTACCATGCTTCTCCCATGCAGAATAAGAAACTTTGGCTTTCAGGGCTATTTAGTCCCATTTCTACAGAGTAAATAGATCAGTAACCTAATCCATAGGATGGAGAAGGAAAATAATGCCATGTTATAGAACTCCTATAACAAGGAGAATGCAAGATTATTTTTGAACCTAGAGAGAATGTACACTGTGTAACTTGTTCTCATTCCTGAAGGTTGGCTGTAATCTTGGTTCCCAAGCTATACAGCATCTTCTGGTGCACTCCGTCTGCTGAGGCATCATGGTCAAGGAAAGAGGAACATAAACCACCAATGCAAATGTCCCTCATTTTTATTTAATCTAGGGTGCCGTGAATTAGACATCTTATTTCCCTTCTCTTTCACTGATGCATTTAAATTTTTAATTTAAAACAGCTCATATTTTAATAAACTAAAAATGCATTAACATTACCAAGACATATTACACTTTCCTACTTCTTAAAAGTCTATTGGCAGATCAATATATTTCATTTAATTTGCCTACGTGATAATTTGATGTAGGATGTGATCAGCAAAGAAAACACCAGAAAAATAAGACTGTAGAAGAGACTGGGGGAGGGAAGGTGACATTCACAGTAAATTTAAAAACATAGCATTATATTGAAATAAAAATATTCAGTTGACCTTTGTTTCTTCATGTGAATTTCTATTCTATTTTAACACATACTGATTTACTGATATGCAGTTAAACCTGGTTTAAAACTTTACCACATAGCCTACATAGATTAATGTATGAGCAGAATACAAAACCAGATCATTGACAAGTGCCCAGAAGTCAGATCATATTAAGCTTACCTAACCTTATTCTTTATTAGCGAATTTTTCAGAATACACCAAAATTTAACAGATTTTTCACAGTACACCGAAATCACTTTATACATTAGTTCTATAAATAATTTTATATCATAACACAAAAATTGAAATGTATTTGAATAATCCTGTAAAATGAGCTTTCAACTTATAAAAACTTCAAAATTAATTGTTTAATACCAATTTGTGATAGGTGAATGAATTTAAAAGCATGTTAGATCCACCACACTAGCTTGCCCCTCTATGATTTGGAATATAAAAAACATCCTAACAAAACTCCTGAAATACTATCGAGATATTAAATTAGAGGCAGCATGCTGCTATCAGTGGAGTATGACGAAATATATGAAGTGAGAATCAATAAAAGCAAATGTGAAATACATGACAGTTATAACATGATCAGCTTGAAGCACCAAATTTGGACTTTGAGAACTAAAGACATAATCCTGAAGTACTACAGTTTAAAACAGTGAAGAAAGAGCCAGGTAATTGTCATTGAATGAGATTCATTACTCAGGAATGGGTTTGATTGTACATGTACAACAATAACACTGATCCCTTCTTAAAAGCAAAACCTAAAGCACTTTAGTATTCATTAGATGGGAAAATAAGTCTTGGATAGAGTTTCAAGAGTTGGGTTGTTTGGGTTTTTTTAATAAAATCTAGCCTTTTAAGGCAAAAAGATACACACATCATTAGGATAAAAGAAATTTATTCATCTCCCCAAACATTAAAAATTGTATGGCATGGTTTTAACCTCCCATATTTATTTACACAATATGAAAATCATTACTAAAACAAATATAAACTATTATTATAAATTATAACACTGAAAATTTAAAGGCATTAGGCTTATGTATTTTTATCTATTTTATTTCACATTTATTTTTCACATTTTTTTCAAAATGTGAAAAGGAAGTCAATTTTGATAAACAGCCATTCATATCATCCTTTGCAAACCATTCACTCAGCCGAAATCTGACTCAAGCAGACAAACAACCCTGAGATACTTTGTCTTTCCATATTTCATTTCCATACCAATAAAGAAACATTTCCTAAAATGTACTCTTCTCCTATTACTTGCGTCAGCCACACAGCTCAAAACAAGCTAATACAAATTCCACAAGCTGACTTGTCACTCCAGGTGAAAGTAGTACCTCTACATTATCTGAAACCAGGTGCGTCAGCCTCCAAAGGAAGACGCTGTGCTGGTGTCCATTTCAATTAACCTGCCCAGCTTTATAAACATCCCTAGTTTCAGCCACCGGAACAGGTTGGTGTCCTTTTCCAAGTAGTGAGGGAAGCGATATGGCAAACGGGGCTATGTGAAAAAAGGATGATTCTTCTCATCTCTCCATCCCAATAACTCAGGAAGATTAGATGCATGTAAGCAAGTAAATAAACACACTAGAAGTGTTACCTAATAAGGTAAATCTGAAAAGATTAAAAACATTAAGGAAAAAGCAGTATTTTATTAAAAGTAATTTTTAAACAATTACTCC